GCTCTGTGAAGAAGGCTCTGTATCCACTCCTTACTACTCTTCCCCTGCTTGGGTTCCCATCACTCTGCTTCCTCCAGATGCTCACCATCCTCTGCTCCTCCCATGGGGGCCCTGGGACCCCCGTCCCGATGAACCGGTCTCTTTCCCCTCCCTATCAAAGGGAGTGTAACACCAGCATCCTGATGTGTGGTCAATGAGTGTGGATTAGGGTGTTCAGAGTTCCCAAGGAAAGGGATCCCTGCCTGTTCCCCGGACCCTGGACCTTGAGGGGCCACTCCAGCCTGGACAGCCGAGTGAACCTGCAGGAAGGAGATTCAGGACCCTCCTCTGTGTGCTCCAGGAGACTCGGGACACTCCTCTGTGTGCTCAGGGCTGGTGCACCTGCGGTCAGCAGGGGTCCTACTCCTCCCCTCCGACACCTTTGTTCTCAAGCCTTTGTGGCTGGCCCTGGCCTCCCAAGCCAGCCCACCAGCCCTTGTCCTTTGCCTGGCAGGTCTCTCCCGGCCACCCCCCTTTTCTTGCATAGCTTTTTACCCATTCAAGTCTCAGATCAGAACCGAGCATGGGACGGGGTGGGACCCCTCCGCTCACTGCAGCGCTTCCTCCCCCAAGTCTCCCTCCTCTGCCCACATCCCCTTACTTGCCCCAATCCCCTCATCCTGTTCTTGCTCCCCGCCCCTCTCTCCTCTCGGCCTGGCCCCCTCCCCATTTCCTCTTCCCTCCTTTCTTGGCCCTCCAGTTCGGGGAGTCGGGCTTTCTCTCGGCAGGGGCTGTGTTGGCTTGTTGTCCTCCCCTCTCTCCTCGCCCTCTCCCTTCCCTCTTCCCCCTCCAGCCTCCACTCCTCACTCCTCGCCGGCTCATTCACCCTCTCCCTCTCCCACTGCCCCCCCCTCTTTCTCCCCCACCTCTTTGTTTCAGCTGAGAACCGGCTCCTCGGGACAGTTCCCACACTGCAGTGCCTCTGGTGAGGAGACAGCGCCACTGAGGTAAGCTGGGGGTTCGGGGACACAGGCGCAGGGCAGCCGAAGCCCTGGGGGCGGGCAGGTGGGGACCGTAGGCAGCCCGGGTCACATCACTTCTCTGCCCAGGGCAACGGAAGCAGCAGAATGCTAGCCGCAGGTGCCCTACCGGTCAGCAAGAGCAGGGTGGAGGGAGAGGGCTAACAGGGAGCTGGCAGGCTGCCCTTGCCCTGGCACCCAGCTCCTGCTGATGGCCCAGGGCTGAAGGAGACCCTCGGGGAACCCGACAGAGTGAAGGGGGAGACTGGGACACCCAGAACAGCGCACTCCTTAAGGTTTGAGTCTACGCCCAGTCCTCCCTGCCCCTAGCTGAGCTGCAGCTAGGAGACTGCCAGGGGGCATCAGCTGCACTGACAGCGGTTGTGACCCTCACAAGTGCCTGTCCCAGGGTTGATTGTGGGTCGGAATGTGCTGGGGCTGTTCCTACTGCCCAGGTGGAGGTGGAGGGGGCGGGGCAGAGATCTTTTCCCTATCACCAGCTCCCAGGTTTCCTCCAAGCTACTGACCCCCAGACTCACAAAGCCATAGAAAACATCTTTCCCTTCTCTACGGGCCTTTTGACCATCTCCCGCCCAGACACAGTGCCCAGGACAGCATTCCCCAGAGTTGCAAACAGCATCTGAGGCCAAGGAACAGATGTTCCTGCAATTGGCTCCCTGGGACTGGGAGGGACAGAAAGGTATCAGCTCTGTGGGAGGGATGGAGTGAGGAGGTGGGAAGCAGGTAGAGACAGCCCTAGCTCTTGAGTGAAACTACAGTCACTTTCTGGGACAACCTGGAGCCACCAGAAGGAGCTGAGAGCCTAAAGCTAGGTGGTAAGCTGGAGTGGACAGAAGGGACAGGGCTGAGCTGCCCAAGCCCCCTCCTCAGCTGGGGCTCCAGCTGGAAGCAGGGCTGGCTCTGATTGGGAACAAGACTGAAAAGCTCATAGTCCCAAGAGCTCTGCTGGCTGCAGGAGAGCCAAAAAAAGCTAGGAGAGTGGTGACCCACAGGGGACCTTCCCAGTGGGGTACATTCTGGGGGAAGGTGTCAGGCTGCCTGTCTGGGGTAGGACCAGATCTTACAGCTCCCCGAATCACCCAATACCAGTAGTGGACCAGATTCCAAGGGTGGATATAGTCCCATGAGTTATAGTTACTAAAGGTGGTGGCCTAAGGACTGCGCACCTAGGGCACACATTTACAGAGGCTAACTCTCCCTCACCCTTGACCAGAATGTCATTTCAGTAGAGCAGCAGCTGCTACCACTGATCGTAATACCACTGCACCCCAGATGGAGCTGGTATAGTTGCTACAGGATCAAATACCCATTTTAGCCCATACCTTCCAGCCACTACAGGCCAGCCTGAGCCAAGAGGAAGGAGGGCAAACAAAGCCTCGGGAATGACACGAGTGATAACCTGAGAGGCGTGATCCTTAGGCATCCCTGCCTCCTGGAGAAAACTACCCCTCCCAGGCTGGGCACAGCTCACTACAGCTTTATCTGATGTGGAAGTCCACCTAAGTTATTGGGTATCAGGACTCACCCCTTGCATCCACATGCACAACCCATCTCCACTCCTAGCATACTCCAAATCCTCTAACCCAGCCTGGGGCCAGGCCAGCCGGCCCCTCACCAATCTGGGCCCATGTTTCTCATCCATGAAAAAACTCAGAGGGAGGCAGGCTTCTCTGTCCTTTTGCCTGAGACATAGGGGACCATCTTCCTGCTAGGCAAGCAGCTGATTCTAGCTCCAGCTAGCCCCCCTCAGCTCCTGGACCTCTCATAGCTCAAATACCATCTCTGCACTGGAGGTGTAGCCAAGTGACAGACACTCCCAAACACATACACACTAAGGAGGAGGGACTGGAGATGCAACTTAAATGGTACTTAGCCAGCATTCATGAAGCCCTGGGTGTGATCCCCAATACCACGTAAAACTTCGATGATGGCACACATCTATAATCCCAGTACTCATGAGATAGAGAAAGGGAGATGGAGAAATTCAAAGTCACTACTGGCTTCCCAAGTTCAAAGCCAACCTGGGCTGTCTTAAATTAATTAATTAATTAAATCCAGCTAATGTCTTTCTAGTATCAGAGGACATAGGTGGCAGGTGGCTTGTTTGGCTTCAGTCCATGAACACCAATGTCCTGCTGGCTCTAATCTTGGCCCTTTCTGGCAAGAAGAGGGCCTCTCTAAACTGAAATCTCCTTATAAATACCTTTGGAAGATACTAAAATCTAGGATTGTTTTTACAGATTTTTATCTATTTTAAAGACTTTTAATCTTTTATTTTATGTGTATAAGTAAGTGGTTTGCCTGCATGTATGTATGTGTGTGCATCATGTGTATGCCTGGTGCTCACAGAGACCAGAAGAGAATGTTGGATCCCTGGAACTGTAGTTACAGACAGTTGTGAGCTGCATATGGAGGCTGGGGACTGAACTCAGGTCCTCTGAAAAAGCAGCCATCTCTGCAGCCCCATCTGTCTAATCCCCCTCCTTTTTCCCCTTTCTCTCCCTGAGCTTCCTATAGAAACCCACCTGCTTCTAACCCCACCAGAAGTGAGCAGGCCACAAACACTGTCTACATCAGAAAAAGGAGGAAAGAAAGGTAAGGAAGCCGGGACAAGAGCCTAGGACCTGACTCCCACTCTAATGTGCCTTCCAGGCCGCTTAAGTGTTCCTGTAGTGAGATTTTATATGAACACAGACTCTCCATGAACTCTGTCCAGTCTCTCTACCTTCCACAACCTCAAGGCACTGATGGCATTCCCATGGACAGAGGGGCTCATTTATTCCCAAGGATGTTTGAACCAGGGCTTTCATCTTGATTCCAAAGCGGGCATCTAAAGAGTTGCCAATGAGCTGGGTGTGGTGGTACCTTTAATCCCAGCACTTGGGAGACAGAGGCCGATGAATCTCTGTGAGTTGAAAGCCAGCCAGGGCTACATAGTGACCCTGTCTCAGAAAAAAATAAAAAATGAAAATAGAACAGAATTGTCAAGGCTAGGTGAAGGCTGCAGGGCTGAGGCCATAAGGAGCTTGCAAAGGTGGGAAAGGAAGGGAGGAAGTCCTGGACATGGCATTTCTCTCCAACTGGAACCCTCCTACCTTCTCACACACCTTCATCCTCTGCCCTTTCGCATCAGTCCTGCCACATTCTCTTGGTATCACTCCCTGCTAAAATCTTCATGAACCTTGCCTGTGTTATCACAGTAAGGTTAACTCCCCCATCCAGGCCCATGAGGCTCTTTTCATCCTACTCTGCAAGCCGGTCTTTAAGGTCTCTTTGCCCATGTCCCACAACGTCCCCAATGTTCTAACTACACCAAACTGCCTGCACCTTGCAATGGAGCAGTGTGGAGGCCTGCTCAGTGGCTGGTTGGAGGTTGCATTGGACACACACTCCTACACATGCACACTAGGTGTATGCCCACTGTTGTCATGCATGGGGTCTCCTACCAAATCATCACTCTGCCCTTCCATCCACAAAGAGATCAACAAACCTGCTTTAGAGATCCCTAAAGAAGCTAAGTATGGTCATATGACCATCCTCAAACCCCTGAGGGGCAACAAGAAAAATAAAGACACATCCCCTAATTCTGCCTGAACCTTAGGTTGGCCCCAGGGTGTCTGAGCCCCAAAGGGCAGCAGAGAATGACCAAAAGGGTCCAAGCCAAGATCTCATGCTGGGCCTGTGACTAACTTATGCTAACCCCGAGACAGACAATCTTCAATAATTCTCCAGTTATAGGACAAATGGGTTTAGATAAGCTGACCCCAGACCCACAGCTCATGCCAAGTGCAGAGAACAAAGAGGCTTTAAGGTAAAGGAGGGCTGGCAACCCTCATGGAACAATCCTCTAGCCATGGAAAGTGTCAGCACATGAAGATGAAATGGGGATTTGGCAGCAGAAACCTGAGTCAGGAGAAATGGCAGCCAAAATCCAAAGGAGGGGAACACCTTCAACAATCCATAATTGATAAGACTCGTGTATATTTAACCATTCATTCATTTATTTTATTTTTCAGTGCTGGGAACTGAACCAGGGCTTCGCACATGCTAGAATAGTAAGTACCATTGACTATATTTCCAGCCTTCTTTTTAAAGATCTTTGAAATGGGATCTCACTTAATTGCCTAGGCTGACCTTGAATTCTCTCTGTAACTCAGGCTAGCCATGAACTCTCAGTCCTCCTGCCTCTCAAGTACCCTGGGATATACAGACCTGTGCCACCAGGCCCAGCTACATAATTGACATTGATGGAGGGGGGTGGGAAGTTCTATTGAGCACTAACTGTGAGGAACTTGCATATTTTTATCATCTAGACTGACCAAATATATAGGTGTGCAAATACAGTGAGTTAAGCCCACCAACAGTTTGCTCTAAGGGGGCCCAATTCAGACTCTGGCCCCCAGACTATGAAAACACGGGCACAGCAAAAGGGACCGAGGCAGATGAAGGGAGCTCCAGCAAGACTCTGCCCATATGTAAAGCCCTCAGAGGGCAATGGAGGCAGCCATACCCATAAGCAACTCTACTCTGAAAAGCACTTGTGGGTACACTACCAGAGGTATTCTGACACGTGTCCCGTGCTCACATGCTCACCACACAAAGACACCGAGGATGTGGCTGACAAGTCCTTGGTCCCCCGTCCTCTTCTCTCGAAGCTCTTGCCTGCAACTTGGTGTCCATTGGAAATGCATTCCCAAGGTCAAGAACACAGTCAGGACACCTCTGGAGGATGCCAGAACACCAGTGTAAAGACAGAATGCCCTGAGACTTTGACACCAGGAAAGAAAATGGTACATGCCACTCTACTTCCCTAAACCTCTCTGCTCCTCAGAGCCAGCTTGCCTTGCCTCCCTCCCTCTCAGTCTCTGGAACATGTAGGACCTAGGTCTTGGGATCCTGGCCCAACTGCTAGCCAGACTGTCCAGAGCCCATGCAGAATGGTGGCTCTTCCCATCAGCGCTGACCCAGAGTCCTGCACACCCTCACAGTGGAAGAGGGGCCCATAGGAGCAGCCCCAGGCCTCACTGTTCTCTATGGCTTTTTATTCCTATGTGATTCTACTGCTCACTCATATAGGGATTGGAGCCGTGGCGCACGGTGAGGATAGCCAACGGAGGGCTCTGATACTGAGCATGAAGGCTCAAGGGGAGCCAGGCCAGTGGCTGCAGGCCAACCCAAGGGACTTACCCCTGACAACTATAACAGGATAGGGCGAGGGACTGCTGAACTCCTTCACGGCTCTGACCTATCATTCTAGTCCTGGAAACACACACTGAAATGCTGGACCCCAACTGTGTGCCCTAAGGAGCAGCTACTGAACGTGGCATATTTAGCCTGGGGAAATGGAACTGACATGGGAGAGCAAGCTTAATACCCTGCAGCCTCAAGAAACCCCTGGATAGAGGGAGGGTAAGATAGAGGAAAGACAAGGGTGGTCCAAATACTGAAGGAATATCCTTGGTAGCCAGTAGAAAATTTCCACCCAGCCAGGCTTCAGCAGGAGTCAGGTTGCCACAGGGAGTCATGGTTGAATAGGTGACAACCCTTAAACCTGTCCTGCTCACCCACACTGATGCTGCTAGGAGCCATATTCAACCATCAACAGACCCTGAGCGTGCCCAGCAGAGAAGCGGGTGAGAAACTCTGTTTAAATGCTGGCACCATTGCTAGGGCTACACCATGTTCCCCTCCCTAATAGCTACCCCAAGATCTGCACTAAAGAAGAAAGCGTTGAGGGAAGGTGAGCTGAGACCCCCACAACATGCTCCTTTTTATTTCTATTCAATGGAAGAAACAGGCTGAGGATCTGGGCAGATGGGCTCCTGGGGAAGAAATAAGGACTGGGAACTGGCAAGGAGCTTCTTCTAGGCCTCAGGGCTCCCTACTGATGTAACAGAAAGTAGGGGTAGAAAGGAGCCCTTGTCTTACAATTCAGTCGGGGGGTGGGGGGGACGAATGTGGAGATCTGTGGGGTCTGGGTGGAGCAGGCTAAGGAGATAGGGAGTCCTAATGCACAATGGGGCCCTGGGGAGCCAGCCTTTGATCTTCCTAGACCCTGCCCTTGCAAGCCTCTTATATACTCTCAAAATATGAGCTACCTCATATTTCGTCACTGAGGACGAAAAATCAGGAGGTGGACATCCATGACATTGGTCCCTGTCAACCCTGTATGCAGCAAGTGTGTTCCACCCTGGAAGCGGCTAAAGAAGGTGTATGAGTCATTGTTGGAGAGGAAGGTGGCTATGTCCAGGCCTTCAGCAGAAGCCTGGCTGACAAGATCAGACGTGACCCAGGCCCCAGCCGCCTTTGTAGGCCCATCCTGCCCATCAGTGCCTCCACTCAAAAATAGCACATCAATAGGCCCCAGTGGCTGTCTTCCCAGCTCTGTTCCCACATGCAGGGCCAGTTCTTGGTTCCGACCACCCTTGCCAGATCCCTGCAGCTGCACCGTGGGCTCACCACCAGCCAGGAGGCAGACTGGGCCTTTAGCCTTTGCCACAGCTTCCAGCGCCTCCTCCAGCTGCAGGTCTGGGAGCGGGAGCTCAGCTGCCAGCTGATGGAGCTTTGCCTCTTCCTCCAAGGGATGCCCGGCCGTGGATGAAGTGAGGCGGGCTGCAGCCACCCGGGCTAGCAGCCCATAGAACTGAGCCACGTTTTTTACGTCACCCTGAATGGCTGTGCTCAGCACCATGGCACGGTAGCCCAGGACCTCAGCTTGCTTCTGAGCCTCAGCCAGTGCCAGAGAATTAGAGCCAATGATGACATTGAGGACATGACCACAAGTATGTGGCCCACGGGGGTCAGAGTCAGCTCGAGAGAGCACAGTCTTCACAGAACGTGGCAGAGCAGCACGAAGACCATAGCGATTAAGAATCTGCAGGCAATCTTGCACACTGTGGGCACTGGCCACAGTAGGGCCACTGGCGATCACCTCCAAAGGGTCCCCAATCACATCTGACAAGATGAGGCTTACCACCTAGACAAAGGCCACAAAATAAGGCTCAGTCTTGACTCCTCCATGTCCCAGGGCCCTTAAGGACAAACTGGTCCTGAGTGTACACCACTTCCCTGCCCACAAAGTGTCAACTTCTTGACACTTTCAGGTGGGGCTGACAGAACACCTACCAGGGAGACTCCCTCTCATCCTCTTTGGCCTCCTCCCAGGAACTCCCCAGTAAGAGCCCTGCCAACTCGTATGTTAGCCAAAGCTTTCATCTCCCTGTCACATGTGGGGAACCCAGGGCTGGCTGAAGAAGTGATGATGCACCTGAGCAGGATAGGCAGCCTGAGCCAGCCCTCCACCCTTCAGCTGGGACAGGGTCTTCCGGATGGTGTTCAGCTCCTGAATTGTCGCTCCGTGGGCTGCCAGCAGCTTGGTGAGCATCTGTTTCTCCTCCAGTGTGACAGGTGGGATGGGAGCAGGCAGCAGGGCTGAGCCCCCACCTGCAGAGTCAGTGAGGGTGTCAGGGAGAAGACAGGGGGGCACAGGTAGACCACAAGGGAAGTGGACTAAGAAGGTGGAGTTACAGTGCCCCCCTGTGGACATGGAGTGAAGCTGCCCCCTAGCTGGGATACTCCAGATCCCAGAAGATGCTGGGAGGGGTGAGGATGTAGCTCAGTAGTAGAGTGTTTGCCTAGCCTGTGTGAAGCCCTGAACCACAAAAATTATAAACTTTTTAAAGCATGGACTAAGGAAAAGCAAGAAAAAAAACAGCAGACAATCAAAGAGAGTTCTGTGGGGGCTGGAAACTCAGCTTGTGGAGCCCAGGTGACAGTTGCAGGCAGCAACATTTTCCAAAGGTTCTGACATGTGGTAGTGTGTTAGTGTGCCCTCACCATCACAACTCAGGATAGATAACTGCCCTGACACCACCCACAAGGTTCCCTCTAGGCTCCTCACTGCCTCCCGTGGTCCTAACTTCACCCTGTGAGCATGGAAGCTCTGGTATTAGGGGTACCCTCCCACCTGAGATGAGCACAAGCAGCAGGTCTTCGGCTGTGAGCCCCTCCGCCAGCTGCTGGATGGCCAATGCAGCCCGCAGTGCATCACGGTCTGGTAAGTTGTCCTCTGCACCCTCAAACACCTGGATGTGGCTGTGTGGCTTCAACAGCATCTCTCTGAGGAGGGAGCAAACAGAGGTGGGCTCCACTCCCTCCACCCGACTTCTCAGCTGTACAGTGAGAGTGACATGAAAGAGACAGACCCAGGAGATAGGGAGGCCAAGGAGAGAGGTTTCCCACCAAAGGGCAGTGGTAGCAGCCCCACCCACAGATTCTTACTGCTTTCCAGCATGCTCCATAGCAGCCCGGATCCCCTTGGGAACGCTGATCACACCCTGCACAAGATGCTGGCCCAGCAGCTCCTCAGCTGCAGCTGCCATGCCCAGCACAGCCTTGCCGAAGCCCACTAGGTAGAGGTTTTCTCGTAGCTGGAAGCTCCGGTCCCGCACCTTCAGCTGTTTGCCACTAGGATCCAAGGACAGTGCCCTTTGCAGCATGGGACCTGGCTGCACAGCGCCCACAGCACTCTCAAACAGCTGCCGTGCCTGCTCTGCCAAAGCCATACCACTGGACATCCGGGCCACCGGGGGCCCCCAGAAGAATGGACGTGACGGGGCTCGGAGAAGAGAGGGCAAGACCTGTAGGGCTGCAGCCATGCCCCACTTCTTTCAGAATAGCCTTGTGTTCATAGCTGCCTAGAGAGGGAGGAGAATGAGTGAGACCGCAGACAGAATCCCACCATCATGGCCACCCCTCTGAGAGCTTAGGGCTGGTGGACTCCATAGCCATTGCTGCAAGAATGAGCCACCTGAAATGAAAGCTGAAGAACTCCTGAAGCCTGCAGCAAACCTGATCTTACTCCAGTTCTGCAAGCCCAGCCCTGACGCCCAGTCACGTCCTCCTCTTCTGTAGGCCACACACCAGTCTTCTAGACACTCTGCCCCAAGTCCAAAGTTCCTATGAAGTGGACCCTCCTCCTGGGTCACCCTTTGGCTGGGAGTTAATCATTCACAAAGAAAGCTATTCCTCCCAGTGGTCTCCTGAACCACACTCTTTTTCCACACACTCTACTTCCAAGTCCTCACACCAAGGCAGTGCCCCTTTCTGGCATATCTGCCCTACCTTTTCACCCCTTTTACTGCTGACAGAGAGGGGGGGCTGTTGGTTGTCTCACCAACTGACCCCAAGCCCACTGACCTCTAGCCTGATCTATTTCATTAGCTATAAGACTATTCTGGGAATGCTGGGTCTATGCAGAAAGGCTGCAGGCTTATCAGTGCACACAACCTGAGGATTCTCAGCACACAGACCAGTTCAATGAGAGGTCCAGGCACAAATCAGGAGTAGCTACAAAATCTGACTCAAGGTGAGACTGTTTGACAAGTCCTCGGGTCATATGCAAGAGGACATTGCTATTGAGCTCAATCTACAGCACAGGAAAAGATGTCCCTCTACCCACACAGCTGGTCAGGGTCAGCCTTGCCAGGAACACCCCTTCCTGGCTGCGTGATAGCAAAACAAGCCCTGAGTTACACCACTCAGTGCAGAAACAGCCCAGTGCTGGAGCAGGCAAAGGCCAGGCTCCTAACTATGCCCAAACAATCATTTTCCCTATTGGGCAGAGTGAAAAACAGAGAGGTCTTGGGGTAAAGGTCAGGAAGCTATACAGGGTAAATACAGGGGACAATGAAGCCAAAGGACTCATCTGTAAAAAGGTATCTAAATTTGGGGACAGAGAGATACTGGAGACTGAACCCAGGTTTTGTATGTGACAAGTATGCACTCTACCATATCACTGAGACACATTAAAGCCCCTAAAAAAGATACTATAATAAATGCCTACCATTGTGCTGAAAGACAACTGTATCAGTAAGCGTGGATAGAAGAGGAAGTAGTCTAGGAACTGGGATGTTGGGGTTTTTGTTTTGGGTTTTTTTTTTTTAAGTGTAATGTATCTTTTCTCATTTGCAAGATGAGAGGTGGGATGAAATTAAGCCTAATTCTTTCAGGGAACTTGAAAAGTGTTGTTCTGTGGGAGAGATCATGTCTATCATGCATGAAGTCATGGAATCCTCCATGGCGGTGGAGGGCTGATACTCCTGTTTGCCTGACACCTCAGGCTTTCTGATGCTCTGTCCAATGCAACAGAGAAAACTGTGGGTAACAATTTATTCACTCCTAAATACCGTGCAACTTCCAGAGACCTGTGCCGTTTAGCGGTATAGTTCACAGCTAGTTTTTAAAGAAGAAAAAGAAAAAGAAAAAAAACTAGACGTATTGTGAAAAAGAATACAAAGGGCACCGGCCATGGGATGTCTGTAAACATGCCCGGTTTTCATGCAAGGGATCCATCCATCCCCAAGGCTTGGAGCATCTTAGCGTCTAAAACATACAATACTCAGCCCTAGGTGAACTTTGTCTATCTCACAGAGCAGCAAAAGCCTAGAGGATCTCTATTAGAATCCAGGACGAAGGAAAGCTCAAGGCCAAAACTGCCAGATAAAATGCTGGGCATTTGGTGAAATCTCTATTTCCAATAAGTAATTTTTCTAGTATAAATATGATCAGTACATTTGGGATTATTTGTAACTAAAAATTACATTGTGGTGAGCTTAAATTTAATTGGACGACTTGCATTTTCAGCTGTCAAATCCCCAACTCTATTTAAGACACTACACCTTCCCAGCTGCGGCGCACTCGGGCTGCTAAAAGAGGAAGTGCGAAGAGCAGCCTTGACTCCTCCCGAAACGAAGTGGAGCTGACATCACCTCCGGATTTGGCCAACGGCCAGATGACCGGAAGTGACGTTGCCCGAGGCCTGTAATCTTCGCAAGGAAAATGATTGCCGCGCAGTGTTGGGTGTCGCAAAAATTAAAGGACTGCTTTCGCTTGGATTCGCCTCCGTCTGGGCCAGGAATGACTTCCAAGGTCCGTGTACGCCCTTGAGACGCAAGCTTACCTTTCTGCCGCTTCCAGCGCTGAAGACCGGAAACATTCTGGGTGGGTGGGGATTAACCCGGAAATGGCAGGTCGGGACTCCTGGAGACCAGGTTCGTGGATTAGAGCTTTGCCTCTCTGACCGCCAGAAAACCTGAAAAGAGGTGTATGGAGCCCTCCGGTTTCTGTATTCCTGCAGTGGATTCTCGGTGGTTTGTAATGATCCTTCCCTCTTCGTCCTGTTAGATAAAAATCAGTCATTAAGTACACCCCGAATTCCTGTTAGATGCCAGACACCGGGCTGAACCATCAGAGAGCTGCAACCCACCCCTCTAGAGAGTTTAAGGTCGTCCTTGCCCCTCCGCATAGTTAAATTCCATGACAATGCATTGATGTTTACCACACTTCCGTGAGCTACCATATACAGCTAATTCAGCGAAAGATTTCTGTTCCATGATCTTTGAACACAACAAGTGCTAACCTCCCTACCTTGTGTCCACTATGACCCAGTCAAAAATAACTATTGGCTGAACTCCAAAAACATGAGTACACTTTTTCTGATGGAAAGAATTTCTTCAAACATGTTTCCTTAAAAAGTTTTGTTTTGTTTTGTTTTGTTTTTTGCCCTGCCCCCCACCACACACACACACGGACACACTGTGTAGCCTAGGCTATATTTCTTCAAGTTTATGATCCTCTTACTCAGCCTCCTGAGTACTAAAATTGCAGGCATGTACTACTGTGTAATTGAGAAGCTTAATCACCTATTCACCTGCTACTCTGAATCTTGCTTCCTGACAGTTCTTCCACTCAGCAATATCTCTTTTCCTGTTAGGAAATCCCTTCCATTTTGCAACTGAAGACAATGCTGTTCCATGTCAGTCTGGGTAACCCAGTGGGATCCTGTCTCAAAAATATCTTTAAAAAGAAAAAAGAGGAAGAAGAAGAAGAAAGACAGGAGCTGAGGCATGGTCCAGTAGTTAAGCGCACTCACTGGTTGTGGGGCTGGAGAGATGGCTCAACAGTTACGAGCACTGACTGCTCTTCCAAAGGACCTGGGTTCAATTCCTAGCACCCATATGGCTGCTTACAACTGCCTGTAACTCCAGTTCCAAAGGATATGGTACCTGCACACAGACATACATGCAAGCAAAAAACACTAATGTACATAAAAATAAATCTTAAAAAGAAGGAAGAATGGGGGGGACAGGGAAATTCCAGTTTCAAATCAACTCAATACCATTCAGGAGTTTACAGTCCAGTGGACTTAGTCGTCTTCCTGTCAAATGCATCTTGTGAATAGTTTGGGAATGGCAATGGTGTATTTAAACTTGGGTACAGGAAAAATGGATACAGTGAGCTGGAAAGATGGTTCCGTGGTTAAGAGCACTTGTTGTTCTTGTAAAGGTCTTAGGATCTGTACCTAGCACCCAATGGTTTTATGTATGGGGAAAGGGCCAGCCAAAGAAACACACCCTGGTCCTGAAACCAGAGCCAAAAGGTTAAAAAGGGCCAGTGAAAGAAACACACTTTGGCCCTGAAACCAGAGACAAAGAAAAACACTCTGCCCCTGACCAACTCAGCACAAAAAAAAAAAAAAAAAAAAAAAAAAAAAAAAAAAAAAAAAAAAAAAACCCTCAACCCAAACCCACTGAGCTCCAAGCTCAGGGATTGAATTCCAACCAATTCTCACCCTGAAAATCTCCACCATGGAAAAGCTCTGCCCCTAAGATGACCTATATAAGCCCAGCGCTTGTTTCATTCTTTACTGCCCTGTTCCACCTTGACAGAGGCAGCCACCCTCCTAGATTCCTCCCAATAAATGTCTTGAATGAGGTTTGGGTAAGACCTTTCGCAGTCTTGGAACCCAGCAGAGAAGTAACAAGTTTTTGCAGGAGCAGAGAAGAGCAAAACTGTAACACTTTGCTGGGGGACACCTTTGTTCCTAGTGGAACAAAGTTGTTACACTAGGGAAACATTTCCCTGGAGCAGGGCTATAAGATGCTACATTTATGCGGACTTTGTGGTATTCTTTGGTTCCCTACTGCCAGGATCCCTTTTCCATCCAAGCGCAATGCTCACAATTTACAACTATCCAGAACTCTAGTTCCAGGGAAGCTGATGCCACCTTCTGACCACAGCAAACTCTTAGTCCCTCAGGAGCAAGCACTGTGTTTCGCAATGATGACTCTCATAAGAGAACCTTTGCAAGAGATCCATCTTAAAATTCACAATGAAAATACAGTGGCAGTGATGACACTTAATCCTAGCACTCAAGAGGACAAAGGCAGGCAGATCTCTGTGATTTGCAGGCCAGACTGATCTACAGAGGAAGTTCCAGGACAGCCAGGGTTACACAAAGAAACCCTGTCTCTCGAAAGAAAGAGAAAGAGAAAAGGAAGGAATGAAGGAAGGACAACTGATTTTTAAATTTTTATGATTTTTTAAGATTTAAAATGTTTGTGATGTACGTGTGTAGAGGACAACTTTCCGAAGTTGCCTTTCTCTAGCCATATTCACATGGGCGCCAGGAATCAAACCCAGGTTACCAGGGCTGTGCAACAAGCATTTTTACCAGCTGAACCAACTCACCGCCCCAAAACTGATACAATTTATGAAATATTTGAGAGGACTGGGATTGTCATCAGCTCCATATTGAGAGCAGCTGTCCCTCCTAAAGTTGCTTCAGATGCCTTGTCCTTGATATCCCGAACTCTGGGCTCCTCATTTCCTTGTCTGCTCGGTCCTTTTTTTCTTACCAGCTAGCCCCTAATACTTCACAGGGTTTGTGCCAGTTGGTCTGCTACCTGCCACAGAGCTTTGGGGTTAAAGATTGGAAGAGCTTGCTTGCTAAGATTTCCAAGGTCAGCCCTGTGAGAGCTTCTGCTTCAGTGCCCAAGAGAGCCAATAACTCCAGAAACAGTGGTAGAACAAGGAAAGGCTTCTGTTGTTTTGTGGGTTTTTTTTAAGGTGTGTGTGTGGGTGGGTGCCTAAGGAGGCCAGAAGAGGGCACCAGATCCCCTATAGCTAGAGTTCCAAGTGATTGTAAGCTGTCCCATGTAGATGTTGGGAATTGAACTCAGAAGCACTCAAAAC